TTTCCAAAAAAAAAACTTTGGAACACCTTTGCCCTGGAAGCCTCTCCCAGTCTTCTTGGAAAATTCATTGGAAGTGTCCAAATTCTGCCCTTTTTAGTCAGGTCTTTTCTACAGTTATGCTGGTTTCACATGGAGACTCTGGCTGCTCTACCTTTTCCTTACTTTATTTAAAATCACTCCTGTGTTTGCTTGGCTTTTTGCTCTGGGTTATTCTTGGCCGACATAAAGGCAGCTCCAGAAATCCCAAGGCTTGTTTTTCCTTCCCCTCGACTCTTGACAAAGTTCCCAGTTCTTAATGCAGGGAACGTAAACGCTGTTAAACAGTGAAGCTTTTTTGAACCCGATTGCATGATTGATGTTAATATGGTCCATCTTGCTTTTTTATACACAACTTCAGACGGGTTAGTTTTTTGCTTTTTACATTCCAACATTACTTCTGGTACTTCATTAGAAAGAGTCCGTTTGTCCTACTACATGCCAGTAGGAACTCCCTCCTCAATTACTCAGTTTGGTTGAGCAAACATAAATCGGTTGTTTCCAAATTTCAACCAAAAATCATGAAGATTTCTGTACTTTTGTGCATTGCTCGAGTTTCTCTTCTCCATTTTCCCGGATCTGCTGACACAATCTTGACTAACAATTATTTATTTATTTTTTTTCCCCATTTTTTGCAATTTCATGCATTAGTTTACATCGTCGTAATCATCTGATTCAGATCATCAGACTTTTTTGCAGAACCATGAGACTGAAGTAGGATGACAGCAAACTGAGAAATCATTTCTTTGTCATCAAGGGGGAACAATATGTACCTCCACCCGAGTCTGAACTGCATCTCAGCCACTGACGGGACTCAACTCACCCTAAGAATCAGTCAAACCTACTAGATAGAAATTATTGGAGTGGATGTGAATCTTAATCCATTTCAGACCTCATTATTTCTAACGGGCATTCTATTGAAAGGTATGACAGTTAATGCCTCCATTTCCTGCACGACTGTCCCATTGAGAAAGTCGTTTCTATTGATTACTTTTCCAGGCACCATTGAATATGATACACTTTCACTTGTAAATATCGACCTTTACCCCGCTGCACCGAAATTTTGTGCCATAAATACTTTAACAAGCAAGCCTGTGACTGTGAGGTAGTATGAACTGTTATGGAGTGTTAAATAAAGGCCGGGTTTAAACAGTAACAGAAGGTAGGATCTTTTTTATTTGTGTGGTTGAAATAATACTCGCCGATAGGGGGGAAAAAAAAAAAAAAAAAAAAAAAAAAAAAACATTTTTCGTTTTAAAGCACCCCCCAAAGGGGAATTTCATTTTTCAAG